TATATATTCATCGGCCCACGTTATCATACTACATTTGCATAATGAAAATTAATTATCAAAACCAATGTCAGAGTAGTAGAAGTTGTGACAATATCAGTTGCACCAGAAAACATTAGGCATAGGAAATATGATTAAAAGTAATGAAAAAGAAAAGAAAACTTTGAAACTCAGAATATAAAAGACAAAGAGTGGATACATCCGCTATATGATGACCGATTCCGAAATATATCACCTCTCTTCAAACACTGGTTACAATAATGAAGCGGATCACATACAGATATTGTGTAGAATAGCTAAGCTTTGAACTACAACCCTTGTGTATATATCATAACTATTAGGTATTCGAAATTATAATATATAGTCTAGATTTCAATTTGTTAGAAATCAAATGCTTAGATCACTTAGCTTTAATTATTTACTTAAATAATTGACTATCTGTTTACAATCAAATAAGAATAACCATGAAATAATGTATTTAATCATGTCGTTATATATATAGTTGCATGTTAATTCACAACAAGATATACAGTATTATATAACATTTAAAACAAGTTTTTTTTATTATTATATATCGACAACTTCAAACAGTACGGTACAAGTCATATCAATTGATACATAGAACGTGATTTGTGGTCTATATTAAACCATATTTAATTTATATAAAGTTCGATTGTGATTAATATATTTATAGAGTATAAGTATCAGTATTATTATTCTAAAATCCTATATATATATATATATATATATATATATATATATATATATATATATATATATATATATATATATATATATATTAATCGAAGATTTTCGATTCAATTGATCTTTAAGTGTACATTCATTAGAAAAAACACACAATATAAATGAATATCAAGAGTTTTGTGGATATTATAGTAATTTCAATAGTTGAGGTCATGAGTCAAATGAAGCTAGACCATTATTGAAAATCTGGAAGCACTGGACAGCCGTTTCATCCTATTGTGGGACCCCTTAGCAGTGCGCATCAACGAACCGCCTTGAGGGATTCGGACCCAGAACCTATCAGTCTCGTGCGCGAGTGCTTAACCACTAGACCACTAAGCTGGCCGGCATCCAACGGTGTTAATGTCTGACTTTAACTAATCCACGAAATTGAGCGACACATCCACCATTGTCGTGGATGCACACTGCAGAGGAATCCCACAATAGGACGAAACGGTCGTCTAGTGCTTCCAGGTTTTCCATGTTGGTGTAGCTTCAACTAACCCATGATCTCAACTATTGAAATTCTACTACTGTTGCATTCGTCTTGATAACTTCCCCATGATATCCTAATGTAGTATGATAGTGTGAACCGATGTACATACACCCCAGGTTCTTTGTGGCATATAACTGACTGGCTGATTGACTAATCGTACAATATAGTCTAATCTAATATTTACGATTCTATGCTCAGTAATGGTGCGTAAAATGTTTAGTTTAATTTTTTCATGATTTAAACGGTGAATACGTAAAAATTGAAGGTTGTTACCCTTGAATCTACAAACACCAATTATAAATATTATCGGTAATTATTTATTTGTCTTAATCAAATCAATGTGAGGTAGGAATGAATTTATTCATAAAATTTGCTATCAATTTGTTAGTTATGTAAAAAGAGATCCTTAATAATGAAAGTTAATTTTAGTAAAGAGGAAAAGTGAAAAGCTATTTCCATTAGAAAATGGTGTATGTAAAAACAACAACACTATCGGATACCTGCTCATTAGTCTAGAAGTGAAGCGTCTGAGTACAAGACCGAATTTCGTGGATTCGCTTCCCGTATGAAAGGTCGCAGATGCGCACCAGTGACGAGCCCCATACTAAGACGAAACGCCCATCTAGAGCTTCGCGGTTTTTAATGGCAATTTAATATTTATCGGTTTGTGATGTCAATGTGATTAAATTTGGATTTTACTTTCTATAGAACACTTCGAATTGATTTTACAGATAGGCTTAAAAAGCAAAACAGATTTACATCAATGACACGGTTTTATAGATGCCTAACTCATATATACGAACTAGCGACAAAACCTAGATCTAAGATGTAGTGTTGAAATATCTTGTAATACCACAGCATTAGTCAAAATTTGAAGTGATGCAGAAATCCGTTATATTAAGAAGAATGTTACAAGTTGGATTTGCCAAACTAGATCGATAAGTCTGCCAACCGAATACTATCTGATTTCTAAAAACCTCCAACTAAGTCTACATGATAACCTGTTAATTTATGTAATTGACTAGAATATTAAGGTACTTAAGTAAGGTTGTGTCTGAAAGATCCACTCAATTATATTTGTTGTAAAAATCTCCGATGAAGGTGAAATGACTGCAGCCACAAAAAAGGCCGTTACTGAGCGAGAAACGATCGTTTAAACTCAGGAGCATTATTAATTATAAGCTGATTTCAGACAGTTCGAAATAACCTAATTTAAGTTCTCTCTGACAAATGCCTCTTTGTTCTCATCAAATGTGTGCTAATGAAGTCTTGAATAAATGTATGTTTCCTTCAAAAGCCGAATCCAAATCAATCAATATCACAGATATTGACATTACTACTGACTTAAACGGGCTATAACCAACTCTTTTTGGGGTCAGGGATTACGAACACCTATTGGTTATTAGTTTTTAATATTGGTACGATTTAAGAAAGGTGTGCTGTAGCCATTACGTTATAACAATGCTTAGTAGCTTATATAGAATAACTGGGGATGATTGCTGCAAAATTCGCATTTTAGTGGAAATATCATGATCGTCTGAAACCTATTGTATAACAGACTAGTAGCTTTCCAATAGGGAAATACTAGTAAGTTCGGTTTTAATTTAAAATGCTGCTGACTGTTAATGACATATATTTGCATTTATTTGGGGTTTTTGTGAAGAACAATTCAGACTAAAGAGAGTGTTCACCTGATGGTTTCGATATTCTGCCAATCACCACCACTAAACATCCAACTTAAAAATAACCGTGCATTCATTATTTTGACCAGTTCCAAGAATGGTGTATTCCAAACCTGTTGGGAGACATTCCACCGACATCGCTGAATAGATAGTAACACATTATAATTACGAGTAGACTGGAGTTGGAAATACGCATCATCAAATGTTATAACTCAATGATATAAAGATATTGTGCTGGCCCTAAGATTCCGTGTGATGATTGTGGATGCATACTATCTCAAATAAACACAAACTAACAAGTTTTTATTGATTTTTCAGCTAGTGTCAATCTTTATGTTTCCAGAATAATAATAATATACTGTTTAAATATAATTTAATTATGTAGTACATCAGTAATTACAGTAGTTTCTAATTCCTAATATACCTTAGCAAACTGATTAAAAAAGCTCTGATGATAGACAAGTTCTTGTTTTGTGTGAAAACGTAATACATTTGTAATAGATCCATAAGAGGATCTGATCAAGGTAAAAGCAATTAGTAACATTAAATTACTGAAATAACAACTGGATAGCTAAAGTACAGGGAAGTAATCAATAGTAGTAGAAGTATTGATATAAACAACTTTGTAGAATTGATAGAGTATGAAAGTGGGTTAAAATTAAAATTAAAATAGCTATGAACATAAGTTGACACTATTTGAAGAATTTTTTTAAAAAACTACGTAGAACAGATACAAAATGCCAGTCAACTTGGGTTACTTCAGTCACTCAATCATAACTAATGTAGAACTTCAAACTTAAAGAAAAATTCGCAAAATGCTGCACCACGGCAATGAGCAGGGATGAAACTATCAAGATGAATACCAAAGTAGTAGATGTAGTAACAGAATCAGTAGCAAGAGTGATCAGAAATTTTAAAAGAATGGATTAACTCATAGGATTAAAAGTATAAAATAATTTCAGAACTCAGAATACAGAAGCAGACAAACAGGGACCGGATTAGTAGCACTATGACAATTTTCGAGCCACTGGTTTGCTTTAGATAACCTAAACTCTAAGATCTCATGAAGAGAGTGCAACTAACAAGTAAACTATTAGATCAAAGTGAAAATCAAAATTTTTCCATTTACTGTCATGTTTTCATCTTTCTAATAGTAGGTTCACTTTGTTATGACTACAAATTTTCTTCGGAAAGAAGAATATAACGACTAATTGTTTGCTTTTAGTTGGACATTGATAACACATATAAATATGCAAGTTTAGCAAGAATACCTTCAATTTTTCATCGAAACGAATATTTATTGGTGTAGTGACATTTACAACATTTTACGGAAAATATTAGTCACTTTAATAAATTTACCAGATAAAACAAATCTAATGACTCAAATAAATCAGAATCAGACATGAGAAAGAGGCTTTTAAAAACTCCTAGGTATATATGAACATAAAACACAAACGTTGCTAGAGATACGGCCGGGTGTGGAGATAGACTTAATAAACCTATTTTGTAAAAAGGTTTTGGTATCTTTTGCATTTATTTTGCCAGTTCTCACAATCTGTACATTTATCATTAATCGATTGCACTCGTTGTTTAAGTATATGACCTTGAATACTTACATCCTTCCGTCTGTGAATCCCACATAGCGTGACATTGTTAACTGCTCATAATTAAATACACTTTTATACATACGTCTCTCGTCCTATCATGTTTGTGGATATGATAACGGAGCGATTAAGTAACTACCATTTATATTTATAGACTGTTGTAACATTCACATTACCTTCTACGTTCGGATATACTACTGGAGCCATATCGTCTCATTGGAATTATTATTTACCTATAATAGTGGATTCTCGTATTAAAATCAACAAGACATGCGACAACCTGCTGATTTAAGTAACGTCCCTAAACTTTTATTTGTGTTATAATCTTATGTGTTGTTTATTGCTACATTAACGTTTGGACGTAATAACTTTATTGCTGTTTTTCGGTTAATATACTTTTTGGTCCACCACAGTCATTTGGTGAGCCTCGTATTTATTCTGACTGTTATATTGCGTATTTTTTTACACGACACACTGGTTCATTTTTCATGTAATGTCATCTCCAACCAAACTTATTGATATGGATCCTCCTCCAGTAACCACTTCTAGTTCAGTGTCAAACCCTACTGAAAACATTTTAAGCCCAGTTAATGCTATCTCTGAATTCAGACTCCCAACATACGGATCTAATAATCCAAGAATCTGGTTTGCACAAATAGAAGTTTTATTCATGGCCAGAGGCATACGCTCACAAGCAACAAAGTACGCGTATGTCGTCGGTGCACTCCCCATTGAAATTGCTGCTGAGGTTGGGGACTTAATTGACCACGTGCCTGAGTCGGAACCACACGATAAGATAAAAGCAGCGGTAACTCAACGCACTTCAGTCTCAGATGAAAAAGACTTCAACAATTGTTAACGTCTTGCGACCTGGGAGACAAGAGACCCTCCCAACTTCTTCGACACATGAAAAAACTTGCGGGCCCATACAAACTGGATGAAGCCCTCCCAAAACAAATGTGGTTTCAACGATTACCACATAACGTTAGACAAATCTTTAGTGTCTCGGGGAAACCGGTCGCCCTACATGATTTAGCCGACATGGCGGACAAAATGATGGAAGTTTATCACGATAGTCCCCACGTAAACTCTGTGCAACCACCTGGAGCAGTGGATACCGGTTGCTTAGCCTCTTTCCAAAGGCAGTTAACACAACTAACGAATCAACTAGCGTCACTGCAGACGACAATAGCAACTGTTCAAGCTAGACAACAAAGATCCTCTTCTAGACGAAGATCTTTATATCGGCAACGTTCACGTTCTCCTAAACAAACCTCGGAAGTCTGCTGGTATCATAACAAATATGGCGCTAAAGCACGGCGTTGTACACGACCGTGCATATTTCCTCCAACTGATACGGTGAATCAGGGAAACGGCCCGGGCAGACAGTGATGGCGGCGCTTGTTTCTGGCCACTATCCAAGCCGTCTCTTTCACATAAGGGATCGAATTTCTGGCTCAGAATTTCTAGTCGAACCGGAGCCGAAATCAGCATCTTCCCACTACATCTCTCTCGACGACGGCACTCTGAGTGTTCTAAATTATCTCTCGTCGCGGTCAACAACTTTGTCATTAAAACTTATGGAGAACAGTTATTATTCATAGACCTCGGTCTCCGCAGAAGATTCACATGGGTGTTTATCGTAGCTCAAGTCAAACAGCCCATTCTCGGAGCCGACTTCCTCAGTGCTTACAACCTACTAGTAAATATGGGCAACAAGAAATTAATTGACAAGAACACGAATTTACAGGTCATCGGCACAATCACCTCCAACTACGAAATTCATGGAGTTCGAATGATAAAACCTGTGAACAACATTTTCGCCGACATTTTGTCGAAATTCGAGTGCATCACCAGGGTGGATTATCGAAACGAATGCACCACTCACCATGTACAACATCACACTACTACCACAGGCCCTCCAATACGCGCCAGGCCAAGAAGACTGCCTCCACATAAGCTAACAATTGCTAAGCGAGAATTCAAGCACATGATGCGATTAGGCATCATTAGGCAGTCTAGCAGCCCATGGGCCTCCCCACTACACATGATCCCGAAGAAGGATCGAGATTGGCGCCTCTGTGGAGACTACCGCCGTTTAAACAACCTGACTACTCCGGATCAATACCCCATCCCTCACACGACTTCTCATTGGACCTACATGGAAAACGGATTTTTTCGGAGTTAGACCTAGTTCGAGCATATCATCAAATACCGATGGCACCTGAGGATATTGAAAAAAACAGCCATAATCACACCTTTTGGTTTGTTTGAATTCTTGAGGATGCCTTTCGGACTAAAAAACGCTCCTCAAACCTTCCAGAGATTCATGGACGAAGTAACCAGAGGTCTGGATTTTGTATTTGTCTATGTCGACGATGTTTTAATCGCTAGTCCTTCCACTGAAGAACATGTTCAACACTTACACACACTTTTCGAACGTTTCAAAAGTTATGGTGTGGTAATCAATCCCTCGAAGTGTATATTTGGCGTCTCAACCCTGGAATTCCTGGAACACCACATTGATTTTCAAGGAATTAAACCTCTTGAAGAAAAAGTCGAAGTTATAGTCAACTTTCCCGAGCGCAAGTCGACAAAGGCATTACGCCGGTTCCTGGGGATGTGCAACTTTTACCGACAACTGGTCAATCGTGAATCTACAACGTCAGGGGATCTTTCTCGTTTTGTAAGCCGCTTTCTGCAAACGATGCAGAGCATCAAAGCAATATCCCCGCGAGAACGTAACAATCGAGTTCAACTTGATAAACATCTTGAAACGTGGTGTACAAGTTATTAGCTCTGGATAGTGTATTGTGTAAGTGGGCAGTTTTATATACTTAACATGTCAGTATGGGATTTCTGGAGATCGTAGTACTTTCACAGTTGAATTCATGAGTCGATGTAAGCTAGACCACTATTAAAAACTAGGAAGCACTGGACGGCCGTTTCGTCGTAATTTGGGACTCCACAGTAGTACGCATCCCACGATCGCTATCCAGTGCTTTCTGGTTCTCAATAGTGGTCTAGCTTAGAAAGACTCGTGAAATCAACTGTTAACTTGTATTTTCTACCCAAATAACACATGAAATTAATTAAAGTTAGCTAGAATAAATCAAATTAAAACTAACTTCAATTTCAGCATCTTTTTCTTGTTCAATACTTTTTGATTTTTCTAAAGCTAATTCTAATTTTCGATTTCTATCAAGAAGAGCTTTACCCAATTCAGCGGCCAATATTAAATCTAAAAAAATTCATATAAACACATAAAAACTCATGAATATTAGAGTACACTGGATTAAAAATCAATAAAAGCTTACTTTTTGACGTTAGTAAATATGAATTAACTAGACTAGTTTAGACTAACCCACTTTTCAGACTAACATAATCTTGATATATTTAACGGAATGAAAATAGAGCATTTACTAAATTCATACTGTTAAGATTGATATTTTTACAGTCATTTATCCAGTCATAAGAAATGTAGAGCCTGGCACAGATATGCGTTAGCACAAACTGACATAAGCATATAAGAACACATACATAAAATCATTACAATTAATAAACCAAGTAATTGAATAGTAGTAAAAATGAACATGAGAGGAACTAAACACTAAAAATATGGTTTGGTAAAAAAGAATGAGAAAACAGATATGTGAAAGAATATTGAAACTCATCATCTAGGAGGAGAGAATGAAAGGATCCATCACTTCACTGTAATCAAATCTAAGCCATGTCACATAATGTTTCCAATTAGTAATCACTATCATCTAATGTATATTTTTAGCAGTCTATCGATTTCATCCTCAAAACTAGCTTGTATAACTATGTATCTGTAACATGATCGTCAATAAATAGCACTTGGACAAAATCACATATATTAGAACAAACAAATGTAATGGTGACTAAATAATGATGTTCAATTGCAAAACGTATAATTTGATCTAGCTTTCAACAAATTACTTAACATAACTTTCAACTGACCGTCTTCTATATCTATTTATAGGAGAGACAATGTTAACAATAATTTTCTTTGAAAAATAATAGTGGGTGATATAAATTAAGCCATGTAAATTTATAATACATTTTAATAAGTATAAGTCACATCTCAACCATTTTATCGGATATATATATATATATATATATATATATATATAAAATATATATCGACCATTTAGTGTAAATATCGAACACTTTATGCAAATATTAAGAAAATTCTATATTTTCTGAAAAAAGGCATTGTTTACATTGTGAAAAAGTTTAGCCCACTTTTAGGTCAACTAAATTTACCAAGATTTCAGTAAGCGACTACTTTAAGATTTTGATAAATATGTTCATATCATATACATGCAAAATCTTTTATCTCTAACAACAGAATACATGACTTTATTGAGGAAAGTTTTACATGCCCAAGTAAATGATGATTTTGTAGTGTCTACTTCCAGTAAAACTGAATCCGCTTAGAGTCTGAGTATATTCAGGCGACGAGTTCCAGAAGAGATGAACCTGGGGTTTTAAATTTTGATGTTAATAGATATCAACACAAAACGAGGTTAAATACCTTCATAGCTTTCATACAGCTGTTAAATCGATTTTCAAATTATTGTTTTTGTTATGGAAACTAAGTTCACCGAGCTATTAAACTAATAAACGTTAGCTATGATCGAATTCTAAAATACCTAATTCATAAATATTTGAACAAAGCAAGCTTCTTTTCACTATTGATCTGAATTTTTGTGTCGTACGAAACAATAACGTGTATCCAATTCCAAAATATTCTATCAAAATGTAAAATGTAAACCTTGAACTATGTATAGCCAACAAAAACAACTACCATAAAACATAAATGAAGAGATCTTTCTATCCTTTTTATTAACCCAAGGTAACTCAAAGAAATTTATTTTACTATATTCACGAGGGAAGATCAATTAGATCAACTAAGCAAATAGAATAACAATGCATCTATTCCAAAGACGTCCTGGATTGGTATAACCCATCCTGGCTTTTATTATATGTAGAATGACATCATTTATCTCATCACCATCAACAGCCACACAAATACCCTGATACTCAAAATCATTTTGACCACTTTTAGAAGTTCACTACAAATGTGTGAATACAAACCCTTCTGGTGGTTTTCTAAGAATCATTTGCACTTTTTTAATACATGATATGCTTACGTACACTAATTTTTGGCTGATTACTTGCTATTCGGATGTCCTGTGTGCTACCGTACAATGAGGCAGTATTATTTATACATTTACGGTCAAAACCTTACTCTTCAGGTAGAAAATTAACAACACCATGTGCTGTCTTCAGAGCCCTTTGAATGACTCAAGCAGTGGGAAAATTAAAGAAGGATGAGAATCGACAACCCTACTTAATACTATTATCAGGTAAGAACAGTAGAGAGAGATTTTTGTATGTTCTGACGCTACTAAGCATTTTTTCAGAGCTTTTAAGATGTTAACTGGCCTCTAAGCAAGACTCTCAACAGATAATCCAAATTTATGGTTCTATCCAGGTAATTGATGATACTCGGTATTAATAATGCAACGATTGTTGCCCTTCAGTGAATGTCGTAGCAAATAAACCTTCACTGTAGGAGGACGAACTGATCAACGCATCCTCAACCATGACTGAAACTACTTCGTCATTTTGATTAGATATGATAAGTTTAATCAATCGTTCAGAGGATCAAAATGACTTATTCAGTGTTAATTAAAAAAGTTGATTCTGCATTCTATGAGGCAGATAGTAATTTAACTATAGCCCACCAATGTTATAAATATGGAATAACGACAAACAATAGGTTTCATTAGACTGGTTATTGCTAGATATAACCAGATAAAAATGAGGTGATCAGTTTGTATATAGGTATGAAATTATTGAGAACCTCAACGCATGGACCAAAAGTCCTGTTGTATTTCTTATAATTCAAGAATGAATACGGATTGTTGATATAGACACAGTAAAATGGATTTTTTATACAACAGTTTATTTTAAAATATTATTGAGAGTATTTATCACAATTTAACACACCGTTATCATGCCAATAACCTTCATCAATTAAAGAGCATTGATCATCTGTCAGTGAAGGTGCAGGAGATGACGATTCATATACTTCATTTTGATACTGATTCATAGGTGATTAAAACGCCAAGTGTTTTTCTGAATAAAGATAAATATCGGTTTAATTTTTTTAATTTAGCAATAGGAATCCAGGACAAGACTGTAACACAAACTTTGAAGTCAGTTTCAACTCATTACATAGATTTGAAGAAAGATTGACAAATGATCTTATGCTGATTAAGCTAAAATAACATAAAAGATATACAGTACATACTATCAGTTAACGTGGATAAATAAAATAATTTTAAACAGCTAGCAATGTCTGATTGCGAAATCAAAGAGATTCAAAGTACGAATGACTGTGCAACTCGAATAAAAACATACTTTGAAGGTGTGTATCTAGAATGTTTCTAATTTAAGCAATCGAATCCTCTAATGACTTTAATGATGATTAGTTACTCAGTTTAATTGGTGATAAATCATATTGCATAGAATGTTTTCGATGTTCATAAACTGAAAAGATATGAAAATAACTACGTAAATACATTTTAAACATCATACAGAAATCCTCTTTTTAGTAAATTAAAATATTTAAAGTACAAAATATGATATTCTTAACGTAATTGATAGGACGAAGTAAATAAACTCATATTCCACACAGCATTTGCTAAAAAACGACATAATTGGTTAGAAGGAACTTGCATTAAAAGAGTAAACCAGTAGTTCAGTGTACTCTTGACTAGTAAGATTAGTTAAAAATGAAGCTATACAACTTTTGTACATCCAAGTGATAGTAGATTACGATGATGATAGGTTCCGTTGGTTAATCATAAAAAACTTGAAACCTCTCACGTGGGTACATCGGTCCAAGTTACCGTACGATATCAAAACACTGACTTAAAATCATCAAAACAAAGGTCAAAGCAATGGTAATATCAGTGATAGTAAAAATAGGTAAGACATATGGAATATGGTATGAGTTTGTGGGTAGAATAAAAACTAAAGTTTTAAAACTCAAAACTAGTGAAAGACAAAGAATGCATTTATAGGTGCTATTTTAGACAATTACGAGTCATATCGCACAACATCTCTAACCATGGATCACAGTTATCACAAGAAACCCAACTAGACAAACTTCATATCCCATCATGGCTCAGATCAACATTTAGAGATTTCACAAACTGAAATCATATTTTATTTTAGTTTCCCCTTTCCTATAACTTAAACATACTCTAACAACAATAGGTAGGTGTATGACATGCTCCAGTTGTCTTAATTAATAAAGACTCACGACGTAGTCAACCTATTTATCATATCTGTCAAGTACTCTGAGTTTAGGTAATAAGACCAATTAACAATTGAATGATTTCATGGTAACCCAGTAGTGACTTTGTGGTTGTATCACAGGAAATAAAAATCATTTATGTAAATGATGATACTTCAAGAGTAAATAAACTACATTGGTGTTGAACGTCTAGTTTTAATTTTTATAAAATAGGAAACAGAATAACACTTTTGAATTTATGCCCCAAAGAAAATCTAATGAACCGTACAATCTTAATTACTAAGTTCAAGACCGAGTGTTTTAACCAAACTTATAGTAGTACCAGAATATGAAGTTGTAAGGTGTGCCACACGCTTAGTTTGCTTTCAAAGAAAGAGCTTTAAATATCTCAATCAACCACTGAGTTAGTTGAGTAAAATAAACAAACAGCTGACTAGGCCTACTATAAATATTCAAGTGATAAATTTGGCAAACAAGAATGCAGTTAATACTTGAAATTTGCATCCCGTAATACAAGAATGCACTGGTTAACAAACTTACCATACACAATACGAAGTATCGATTCTTATCTCTAACAGAATATGGAAGAAACAAAATTATTCTCTATGTAAGTCATATAATGAGTTTTTGAGCATTTGTATATTATCCAGTCCGATTATTTGAGTGTAATCATTTATGTTTTAAGACTACTAATAGTGTTTCCCAGGCAAAGAGACGTATTTACTGTATTGCAGTATAACGCGAGATATTTGTGACTAAAATCTGTATGGTTTGATTACCATGGTGACTCAAGTATGGACTTATGGGTTGAAGTTTTGGCCTATGGCTATTAGACTGACTCCAGTTAATGACGGTGAATGATGAAATACAGAGTCTTTTAAACTCCGAACGTATTTTTTGGCCGATATCATCAAAACAAACGGAAAATGAAAAGACAAATACTAGTATTTCAATTGAATACATTTCAAAAACAATCATTCACATAAATGGATAGTCAACAATGAGGTGTGGATAAAAGCAGGAATTATACTCAGGTCCAAATTTCACAGATGAACAGGTAAGAAGATAATAGACGGGTAACAAATAGAATAAAAGTTGGACAAATTAGAAAGAAGCGTAAAATATAACCGAAAAGATTGAAATAATTTATCTGTCTAGAAGCCAGTACAAATTCACGTGGGCAATATACAAGTGCACTGCAAACTTCTTCTTCATGAAGGCTTTGTCGTTGAGTGGTGATAATCTCATTCAGTAAACTAACCTCTAGAATTAAAAGTCGGACCTTAAAATCAAAGACATCCATTCAGTGGACTTACTACATGCAACCGATTCTACAAAAGCTATTTTGACAGAATTCTCAGGATGTACTAAAATCTGTCGTGAATCTGAAGTTATTACATGACTTGATAAGATATTTGTAACGTTTTATTGAGCTAGGATCTGTTGGGACACCCTGGTTATATAAATTCGGCCGAAATAAAGTTCGTCACATAGGTTGGCCTGAGTAGCATAAAACTCCTGTTTCGGTTTGGGCACCCGGGCAGTATCACAGCCCTCACACACATCGAATGAGATTTGTGTGGCGCATATGTATTTGGTGCCTCCTTGTACCAATATGTATGTGTTAAAATAAATAAATAAATAATAGTTGGAAACTACAGAAAATTCGGCTAAATCGGACAAGAATGAAATCTTGAAATTATTCGTTTGAGTGCAAAATAGCTCAAAGTTATCGCACACATATGTATACCATAATATATTTTTGATAAATATTTTGGTTAATAAATATGATGGGACGAAGACAGTTCCAGTTGTCAGGCGACATCAGTAAATTTATTGGAATGACGTGTGATTGGACTCACTAATTATCAATCAAACATTACCTTGCACTAAATTAGGATTTCTAATGAGACAAAATAATCATCTGACTCTAAATTTATGCGTATCAACGACAACTCAGACACTTCATTACTGGTGCTGTGCTTGTACGAATGTATACATTTGTACATATATGTGTATATAGTTAACCCTATCATAAACTGTGGTATTTGTACGAACTGATGATTCCTCTGTACTTGATTACCCACTTATTACGAATTCCAAATAAAATAATTTCGTTTGTGTCCATCTAGTTCTTTCTAGCTTATAAGCCAGACATATAAATCGAACCGTTTCGGGAATTCGCAGTTACCACATTAATGCGAATACTTTCGATTATCACGTTAATACTGTTATTCAGATTTCAAAAGATCTCAGAGGAGGGACTATTGTGAAAGTATTAGTATGTTGGTTTCCGAAATCCAGTTACCCTAACTAGATGGGCTAACAATAGAGTATAAATTCTGAGACTTTATAAATAAATATGGCGCATTTACCCTTCACTTACAGAATTAATCCAGAACAACCTTTAGTTTGTGACAACTGTGCAACCAAAACATAAGATGTAAAGAAAAACTCCAGCGATAACTGTTGAAGTGTATACAATCCTGCTGACGGTTGACCTACGGAACGTGGTGGTGATAAACAAAAAAGGCAGTCGATCAACTTACACATAGGAATGAAAACAAAACGTTTCGAGCATTATTTTGTTTGATGTATCCAAACCTTATATATATTACTTTAACTAAATGTGATTTTCAAAGGTTCAAGTGAACACTGGGTAGATAAGTAAACCCTCCCAAACAATAGACGGGATACAAAAGCGAACAAAGGGGAAATTAGGGGGAAAATGCGTTCTAAAATAAAGAAGAAATGGTTGGGAAACGAGCCAAATTGTCTGCTTTTTCGCATTTCCGTGGAAAATAATGCGGATTTTTTCTCTTTTTGTCGTTCTGTCTCTCAAATGTCGCTGAATTATCTATTTTTCTCCTAAACATACGCCGAATTGTCTATGGCAAGCCACGGAGTTTGAGAACTACGCAGGTGCTTTTCCTTTATACCCTTACTAAAATATCCTAGTCACCTCTGAAACAGAGGCCTGCAGCATCAAAGCAGTGTTCATGTGAGTATCTCATTAAGGTTGCTCATATAGTGGTGAACATATTAGTATCCGAACTCGTAAACTTCTGTCATAAGGCTCACAAGATTATAAAATCCTTAACTGCGACCGCCCAGCAGTGGGCCGTGGTCTTAAGGTCATGCCTCGCTGTTACCTTAATATCATTTTGCGACGAAACAACGGGTACCGAATCTTTCTCTATGCTGTACCTGTTTATTTTTTTATTCCCAGTGTGCATGTAGACACAGCGGCGTTGATGAACATCAGTCTCTTTTTAGACCAACTGGCCAGTACATCTAAGTTCATTAGCAGTGCACATACATCTGCATGTCCTACTATTTCCCGCTAGATATTTACGTTATCAGTGTAAATTAGAATCGATGATTCAACTATACTTGGGAGTCATCTAAATACAACACATGAGGTAAACGAATTGGGACGGAGCCTTGCTGCACTCCGTTAGGTACTGATTTCCAGAAGCATCATCTGTAATTTATTTTCATTTTCTGTCTACGATCTACCATGAAATCCTTGAACGGGCAGCTCCTAGATTTTTCAGCTTCAAGAGCAAAATATTTACGACATCTTATCGAGTGCTTTGCTGAAGTTTATGTGAACAAAATCCATTGATTTTTCACTATCTACAGATCGTTTATTTCTCTCTTGTTATAAAAACGTTTGTCGTGCAAGATCATCATTTCCTGAAACTATACTGTTCCCTATTTTATAGGTTGTTAGTTCCTTCGAACTTGCCCAAGTGACAAACCGAATTTCGTTGTCAGCGGAGCAGCGATGTTTTATGCAATCTGTCTCAATATTTTAAAGTGTAGTTCCTCCGGCCCTATTGGTTTCTCGGTGTCTAAATCGCTAAAATCCTTTAGTACATCGTCTTAATCGAAATCCGCAGTGGGCAACCGATATTTTGACTGTGTATTTGGGTCTAGTCGATCGTCTGGAAGGTGCTCCGGATCGAAAACTGTCCCGAAATAGTCCAAAATATTCTCTGCTTTGTCGTGGTCTTCCTCTGTCACTAGAGGTCCCCTTATTTTCATTATTAGGCTGGAAATCCAGTGGCGCGCTGTTGTTATATACGAGAATGGCCTCTTCGGCGCTTGATTACAGATTGTACCAACTGTTTCTCATATTTTCGCTGAGCTCCTTGGGCTGTGATCATACACTTATTTCAGACAGACATCTAGCGTTCTACCGTAGTTGCCGCAAGGCTGATAGCGAAGTTTCAGAATGTTCTGATTCGTCTTCGTAAACGTCGGTTTATCCAGGTTTGGTCGTTATTCTTCTTCTTTGTGACTGTCGTGGGTGTAAATGGTTGAGATACTTGACTGCCGGAAATTAGTTTATGCCCCGCCCTTTACAGATGTCCCAGAGTTGATTTTCCAGTGTTCATCCGAGGGTGTGGTATTGATTACCTTCATGTCTGTCATCCGTTTGCTAAGACAGGTCGACGCAGCTGCATGACAGATGTTTTGATGATCCTTTTCTCTAGGGGTGCATCAAAGTCACCGACCATAGGGTTCTTACACCGGCTTGGCAAAAATTGAGGTTTATTTAGGAGGACGTCATTCACTACACCTTCCGGACTGAGAAATGCTACAACAAATTAACTATCTTGCCATTTACATTTCAGCCTGCAGCGGACAACTTTCCATGTTCTTGAGTCACGTGACACTGTCTTGATAGCTCGTATGGTTAAGGCACGCGTCGTGTACAGGACAATGAGACTACCTGTACGGTCTGGTCTGTCATCCCCACCAAGTAGAAAAGCAAGCATTTGAATTTTACTATTACACACTTCTGACGTTAACCATGTTCCTGAGATGACGATGATATTAAGTTTTTCTGTGTTTACCACCTTTTCGAGCCCCGTCATTCAATTTAGTAAGCTGACAACATTTGCACATTATATCTTTAACTCTGTGAAGTGCTTTCTCGTATCATCGAGGTGGTTTGAGGGACCCTATGTTCCGAACTTTCACAGTGTGGAGACCCCTGAACACAAGACATTTTCATCGTTTCATCGTTGCTCATTGATTCCTATCTCTACCGGTCGTTTCTTCATATGATCGATCACGCTAAGATCCGCACGGACATATGTTTCAGATTTGCATACACGGACGTTTATTCGAAAGGTTTGTGGAATAACGGTCTAAGTTCGTTATTGATATTGCTCTAATAATCGACCTAATCCTAAAATTGTAGATATGTCATGATGTGACTACCTAATCTATGAGATCTTACATGAAAGTCCTATCATTGTCTGCACCTACTCGTCGTATTGTAACTATCAGCAATATGCTTGGCGTTTCTGAAGAGCAAATTTAGGCTGAACATAGAACAATATATGGAATATGACTAAAAGAGATAAACTACGCAAGAATGGCCGTGCCTGCAACGCCGAACCATGCCTTATCCTGTATTTTATTATTTATCATTATTAGTACTGGTAATCGCCCATACTTACTTATGGCCGACTTATCACCACCTTTTGTCTAAACTTTTTGTATGTAATTATTTGCCTCAACCGCCATCCGTCGTTGACTCTGTTCTATTCTTGCTCTAGAAGCTTCCATGTTACACCCGTCAATCGAATGTCTTGTTACGCGGTTAATCATAGCAAATTCATTGCTCTGAAATCTTGTTCATAAGTATATTCTCTGAATCAAAATCGTCCCAACAACCGCCAAAGCCACAAAAACTAGTGCGATCGAGTAGTTAGGCTGACCATATCAAACGATGCCAGAAACCTTGAGACACTAACATCAAGAAATGGGGTCGAGGAAATTAGTTAGCTTACAGCAACTCACCGTAAATTTAAACATTGGATATGTCGTGTCACCTACTGGAATCACCACAACTTCTAGAAGAGGGGATAAGAAAGACCCAATCTACCTCAGATCAGTCGCATTGCTCTCAATACTGTCGGAAACAATGGAAAGGCAGGTCATTGATCGAACTACATAGGATTAAAAGGCGGAAACAAGGTCGTCCATGAGGACAAACACAAGCTTAGGGTAAGTAGATCCTGCACATCTAATCTTGTCGAGGCATTGGACTGCTGGACGGTCTGCCAAGACCAAAAGATAATCATCCAAGTTAGTTTCTCCGACTTTGTAGAGGTGTTTGGAATAGTAATGCACGTACTCACAACGAAAGTTATGAAGGCGGGTTTCATCGATCTACTTCTATCTCTGCTCATAAGCTACCTAGATAACATGATGTTCTGTGCCAAGGCAAACAGGGTGCGTGAAAGCTTCATGATTTCAAAATTAGAAGTCTCACAGGAGATAACTTTGTGTTCACTCCTCTTCCTCACCTTCCCTAATAACTTTCTAGATTAAACTACCCGATTGACAGTAATCTACGTAGAAAACGCGAAGATTTAGGGGTTTATAGCAAGCAAGAAGGATTTTTATATTTAAGGTCAGTGCTGGTGCACTTGTCTATGCTACTAAAACAACGAACCTAATCAAATATCATGAAGTTGCCGTGACGTGACTATCTAATCTATCAGACCTAACAGTGAAGTCACATCAGTATCAATATTGACTTGTCCTGTCACTATAGTCACCGAATTCTGCTAAGGGATTCTGAAGGGCTCATTTAGGATGGGGGTAAAGTAGCATATCTGATATAAACGTACATGAAGTCACATAAAGTGACCACGCCTATATGTCGGAGAGATGCTATCCCCATTGAGTCCTTCAGCGTTCACCATATCTGTGTTCGCTGTGTAATGTAGGTCTTCTTAATTATCGTATGTTCGGATTCAAAGATCATGTAGTTGAGAACCAATACCACAACAGATTTACTTAAACTTCAAAAGAACCTTACAAAAATGGAGGAGTGAGTAGTAAATAATGTGTTAGTAGTTAACTATTCGAAATTCCACCTCATGAACACTGTGCCTCGTAGGAAAAAAAGAACTCGTGTCATCCATGGAAATCCGCTCTCGCTTGTCTCTTCACTGTGCGACCCCACCTTTCTCCATCAATAGCTACTCTCATTTGGAATGCTTGCCCAGTCGGAATGGTCATAGTCCCCTCAGTGGGTAAGATCAACAGGAGACTTGACAAACACATAACCATATTCATATTACCATCTACCCCGTTGGAATAGCTGTTCTTAAGGTGTGTTTCGTAACATTATGGTTACTACACATCATTCTTAGCTAGCTTAGAATAATCTTTGTTTTCACTTTTTTCTTACACTTTGGTCTTCTCAACTCGTCTGCATCATTTATTAACTAATCAACTCGTTTACCATCTCTTGAGTCAATCGTCTACATAATAATTCAAAATTTCTCTTTATTAATTTTTATAATGCAAAAATCAAGCTTCCTGCTTGGCAGTGTGATAAATTTTGGTTAGAGAAACTCGTTATAACTTGTAGTATTTGAATTCTAGTATGAACTAGGAATCCCAGAAATAATGCAGTTGGATTAAGAAGTACTAGATAAGCACGAAGGAATGTACTGTATTTGGAATTCAAGCATTCAACAAGTACAAAGGAATCATTAGTTCATCCAATCACCACAAAA